AGAGAGAGAGAGAGAGAGGGGGGGAGAGGGTTTAAGGGAGCGGCGACTGGTAGTTGAAAGTTTAGAGCAGTAGGTGGGCTGGGAGGATTGAGAATTGATCACTCTCTCTGTCTCTATGAAAAGGAAAAGTTGGTGACCAGGAAAATGATGCTTTCTCAACAGACCATCATTCTTTGCTTTCCGTCAACACGTAGCGCTTCCAACTAAAACGATCGTTACAATAGTAGGAAGCATAGATGAGAAAAAATATCTTATCTTCTCTCACCGCATTATACTCGAAAGTTAGGTTTTGTTTGAATGATTTGTTTCATTTATTCACTATTATGTGCAAATAAAATATGGGGGGTGCTACACGACTCAAAAAATTAATATATAAAAATTAGGCCATTAATATATAAAAATTTAGTTATTGGGATATCACGAATCGTCCATTTGAATCGGGAACCAATTTAAAATGTCTTGGCTTCTTGTTAGAATTGGGTTGGTCCGATTCCCTAAGACTCAAACCCGGTCAGATCGCCCATCTCGTGCCCATTATATATTATTATTATTATTATTTTGCTTCTTTTTTTCTTTTTTTTCTTTTTTTATTTTACCGGTTGTTGCATTGGAGAATGGCTCCCTTCATCGATCCTGACCAGGTTTCCTGATGGCTGGTCGACCCAGTTGATACGGTTTTCAAAAGGAGGGAGTTTAAAATAAGTCATTTTATTTGCTTTTGCGGGTATCAAGGATGATGTCTAGTAGGGTAAAACTACTAAAAAATAGAGGGCCAATGCTTTCGTTTTTATTATTTTGTTTTTTATTTTCTTGGACTCTAGGTTTGTCCCGTCGCTTTGAGGTCATTTAGGAGTCGGTTTGATATCTAAAATATTGGACTGCCCTAAAATTGGGTAGTGGAATATCCTAAATATTGGACATCCGCATTGTGGGTTGTTCTTATTTTGGGTCAATCCAATGTTTTAAACATCAAACCGGCTACTTGAACAATAAACAAAGGCAGTTTAGTGTTTTGAAAATTGGACTACTACTAAACAGAATAATAAGAGGAATATGCTGATCTGATGTTTGATGTACATCTAACCGATCCAAAATAGGGGAACAACCCACATTGGGGACATCCGATGTTTGGGACATCAAACAATCCAACCTTAGAGCGACCCAATGTTTCAAACATTGGACCAATATCTAATTGACATCTCAGATCCCAGACAGCCCTACAGTTGAAGGAATAAAAAGGGCTAAAACAAAAAAGGGAGGCAATGTAGATCCTTAGTGTTAATTGTGGGAAAATATGGAGCATTCCTAATAACACCAATGTTTTCCAATTATTTTTTCCTATAAAATTTGAACTCCAAAAAAAAAATGCAAGAGCACACATATAAACATTCAAAAATCTTTAAATTGGAGGGTCCGGATTATGTATCACAAGGTGAACTATTTTAAAGACAAAATCCTTTTCTATCACATCCATGCATCTTGAGTTTGGATGATGATCAATTGGAGAGTTTTCCAACATCATAATAACAATTTTTTTTGATGAATTTCTGAAGTGCAGGTCACTTCTATTATATAAGAATTTTGGCCCTTATGTAAACTTATTCTCTCCGTATAAATAGATATAGATTCGATATAGATAAAGATTATGTGTATATAATTATAGATTATATAGGTAGATCCACGTGTGAGAAAAAAAAATGAAAAAGAAAAGAAAGGAGAGAAAGAGAAATAGAAATGCTTCCTCCCTTTGTTTTCTCACATAATTGTGAGGTTTGGGGTTCATGTGTATGGAAAGGGATAGGATATTCTACGTGAACGAGTGAGAACTTGGACATTATTGTTTATATTTTAGTTGAAAAAAAGGGTGCGGTTTGCATAACAACTTTAATCAATGAAACTAAAGGACACTCCTAAATTTCATTATAAAATGTAATTTTGGTATTAAAAATTCTTAGAATGCCTTTAGAATTTATTTTTATTTTTAATTATTAAATTTTAAACCCCAAAAGTGGTACAAATCAAGTAGACCTACAACCACATGAAAATCTTGAAAATGGACGGTCCAGATACTATGTTGCAAGATACACTATTATTGTGACTCAAAATCTATTTATTTTATATGTCTATATATTCCGATGTCGAGATGATCAATTAGAGAGTTTTCCAACATCAAAAACATATTTTCTGATGATTTTCAAGGGAGTAAATAGACAATATACTCTTGAGGAAGTATAATATCTTTTGGGATGAAGAGAATGTTTATTACAAAATTTGGGATCAAACAAGTGCGGCAAACATGGTATTTTAGCAATGTGGTTTCATTATATTACTATGATATGGTGATGTGACATCATTCTCCATATATATATATATATATATGTGTGTGTGTGTGTGTGTGCGTGCGTGTGTGCGCGCATAAGGGTTAGCTCTATGTACTAATATTAGGCTTAAAAGAAAGTTAATAGAAGATACAATAACTAGTAGAAAGGAACTTGGAGATTTCTATGAGTATTTTGGATATGAAATCTTGATTACGGGCTATACTTCAAACAAATAGCATAAGGATAAATCCTAAAGATAAAACTCTAAAAAACAAGAGTAAACCCTTGAAGGAAAAAAATGTTTAAATTTCCTAAAGAAGGAAATAAGAGAAAGATCTATATATGTTATAATTGTGGAAAGTTAGGATATTAAAAAAATAAATGTCTGATTAAAAGGAAAATAAATTCTTTAGAAATAGATGATGAAGTCAAACAACATCTCTTTCAAATTATCTTTGAAAATGAGCTCTTAGAGAAATTCTTTTCAGATTCTGAAAAAAAATGGTTATT